CGGAGGAGGACGACCGGAATGGGCGGGCGGCCGCCGGCCGCTGTGATGCGGAACCCTCTCCTGCACCGGACTGAACCAGTCAGAGCCCGGCCGCCAGAGCACCAGCTGCAAACTCGGCACCGGAGGCGGCGGCGGCACCTGCGCCAGCTCCCGGGCCCCGCGCTGACCTCGCCGCCCCGCCAAGCCCGGGGCCGCCGCCCGGCGCTCTCTATGGATGTCAAGGCGGCCCCCCAATGGGGTGGCCACCATCGAGGACCGGATCTTGCGAATCACCGGCTACTATGGCTACTACCCGGGTTACTCCAGCCAGAAAAGTAAGACGCCGTGGGGCTGCGCTGCTCGAGGCGCGGGGAGGGGTGGGAGGCGGCAGGGAGCGCGGTCCGGACACCTGCAGCCTTGCTGTACCGAGGTTGCCACAGGAGCCACGGGGTGAACCTTATGTGCGCTGTCCTCGGTGCTGAACCATGGAAGAGACATGGGGGCCCCGTCGTTCGCTCCTAGGAGTTTGCAAACAGTCGCAGCCTTCGGGGCAGAGGCGCGGAGGGGACCGGGTGAGCTCTCTAGACGGTCGTCGGCCCTTCACCCCTGGCTCATTTACGACCCGCGGAGATGAACATGGCTGTTTACTTAGCGGGAAGTCAGCCCTTGGAGCTGTATTCTCCGAAAGCCCCTACTGGGTGCCGGGCTGCGGGCGGGGTGCCTGGTACGCGTGTGGGTAGTTTCAGGCGGTGGAGCCAACTAGAGACGGCGGGTCCAGACTCGCGATTCTGGCGCCCATTAGCGTCAGCCTGCTCAGTCCAGCTCCGGAGACTTCGCCCGAATCAGGAATCTTACGGTTAAGACGCCTTTGAGATGGCTTCTATCCTGGGCAGAGCCAGAACCTGCTCAGGTCTCGGAGTCCGGAGTCCCGGAACTGGGATCCAGAGACCCTGGCACACGACGGGGGCGGGGGCGGGGGCGGGGCGGGGGCGGGTGGAGGCGCGACAGGGCCACCGGACCGGGCTGCCCTCCGCACGTCGCGGCTTCCTCTGAGCCCCATTCTGTTCGGTACCCACTCTCTTCTGGCTAAACAGGTCCTGCGGCGCGGGTGCTTTCCTGGTTCCCGAGCAGTTTTGAGGGGAGGGAGATGAGGTGCGCTCTACTCTGGCCCCCTCCCCCAATACACAAACCCACTGGCTGTATGTACTGGGATTAGTTCTGCCAAGCGACCGAATTGGAGCTCGCTTTTTGTTTCTCTCTTGGGGGAGTAGCTGCGGCTTAATTCCCATGCAAGTGGGGTTTCACTTTTTCTCTTTCAAGGCATTTCTGTCGCAATGGATGGAGCTTAATTTATGTTTTTGCTTATTTTTAACCAGAAGGCTTGGAAGCTCCTGGAAGCATTTCTGATTTGTATTTTTCTGTGACATTTTGGGGTACAAGCAACATTGCAGTGCATCTGAAGCAGACAAACCTTGACCCATAACCAGAAAACACTTTTTTTCCCATGTAACTTTCTCCCCCACTATGCCCCATCTCTATTGAATAATAATTCGAGAGCTTTCTTCCATGGGCTGTCTTTACACAGATATTTTCTATTTTAATATTTCATTTGGCTTCAGGAAAGGCCTATCGGATTTGGATGGTTTCTGTCTAGCTGTTTTTAGCATTAGAGGCTTACATTATTCATTTTCCTACAAAAGTAATTATATAGTGTTAGAATTTTCTGGAAAGAAAATAACATGCTGTGGAATGCGGTTTGAAGTCTTTGTACTATAGTCTCAAAAACTCATTCCCCCCCCCTGTTGGCAAAGGGTTTCTTTGTTAACCCTAGACACTTACGTGAAGGCACTAGGATACCATGTGGAGGTTCTGTAGGTGTCACCCATGAATATTTTAATTAGGAACCATGGATTTTGGCTTCTTAGAGAATGTAGAAGCTATCTGTGAAATTACAAGACTCAGGGTAGTATATTGTTATGATTTATATAACAATGGAACTTTGGTTAATAAAGAACAAACAAAAAAGGATACCGGAAAAGTGACATTTTAAATAAAGACATGTTCATATTACCTTTTCGTACTTGCCGAAATAGGGACACAGTGTTCCATTTGCCCTACAGTAACAAGACAAAAAGAGGGATGGACATTGGCCAAGACAGTAACCGAAGCTAAAAGGGATAAAGATGCGTTTGGCATAGTTATTTGGGACGGGCACTTAACCTAAGTTCAGGCCACGGAGTTCAAACAGTGAAGGCAGAGAAACTCACAAGGAGAGAGAACTGCATGATAGTCAAATGACTTTTAGGTTTCTTGTGCTTTCAGAGGTAGAAAGAGATTGCCATTTTGCACCGTGAAAGAATAGGAGAGGAGAGAACTGGAAGAAGGCCAGGCAGCCGAGCACCATGAAATAATCCAGCCCTTAATTCAGGCTTTAACTAGTAAACAAACACATTGAAGCAAACCAGTACAATATGGTCAACTGATTTAGCTGTTACCAGGAATGATCAACAGCTTGGGAGATGTCTGTGGGGATATATTTATGAAAACACTGTGGTGAGGAATATATAATATGTAAAGGCAAGGGGACTTTCCGGTTTTCTGACTGCTCGTGTATGAGGCCTTAAAGATGGGATGCTCTCCTGATACCCATGCTGTTTACCTTTTTAGAAGTAGGTGGGGACTCGCCTGAGAATATGCATCAATGATCAGCTTTGTGTTAGTGCATCCTGATGCCACCCCTGCCAGTCAGGGAAATGAGTACTTGTCCAGAACAAATTCTAGTAGTCAGGCTGATATAAATTACATATGTTTTATTCTGATACATATAAATGGTACAGAGATGATTAAAGCACTTGTCTAGCCTGGAGTTACTTATGGTCTGCTAGGGGAAATAGATCCTTCCTTCAACAGGTGTTAATTGAGCACCTCCTATATGCCAGGAATACATCAGTGAACAAAACAGACAAAAGTATTTTCCTTTTTAGAGCTTAAGTTCTAGTGGGAGCAGACAGACAAATAACAAACAAATTATCTAGTATATTTCAAGGTGGTAGCTGCTAAAAAGGAACTACAACAGGATAAAAAGGATAAAAAAATTCTGAAG